GTTTCCTATTCATGTGTAGTTAGATTTAGTTGTAAGATTAGCATTTAAGTTAAATATGTCATAAAAAAAAATACATATGATGTAGTATAAATAATACTGAACTATGTATATAGATATAATATATATATCGCAATTGAAAATGAAAGAACATAAATATATAATGAAATAATATACAAAAGTTAAGAATTGTCCAACTGCGCAAATTGTCCGGTTGAATTGCAGCGGGCGTGTGAAGTCTAGCAATCCTTATTTTATATTTATTTGAAATAGGTTATAAATTTCTAAAAGAGTAATTTGTAAACGGATGTAACAGGCTAAAATGTAGGAAACTAACGAAGAAGTATATGTAATTATATACACAACTGACGTAGGAATTAGCTGCTTCAAAAGTTGTAAATTATGATCAAGAAGCGCAGTATTTTCAGATAGGGTTACTAATGTTGACGCCCAATTAGTTCTAAAACACTGTTTCGAAAAAGTCAACATGACTTTACTAGAAAATCTGTTTTTGATGAATGTTTAATTAAAAATGTATCGTTATAATCGTATTTGTAGGAAAACTCCGAAAAAATTTGTTTCAAATTTGAGGAATTCGTTTTAAAAGAATGAGACCAGCTAATGAAAATGGATAGCGCATTTTATTTAAATTTTGAAAATGTCCCAAAGGGTTCATGTGGAGTACCTCTGCTCCGCAAACGAAAACGTCGATTTGAAATTGAAGGGGCCGCGACATCATCCAGATAGATTGGAGAATATAGACTGAGGAGAAAATAGGCCGAACGGTTTAGCCGCTAGTGTTGTTGACCAACAGACGTTTCGTCGTCAATCTGTTTCGGTATGAAAGTGTGGCAAAACAGGGATTCTAGCTAAATCGTGTTAGATGATTTTATCTTCTAAATTTCGCTACTACATTTGAGATGTTGGGTTCCAAGACCCTGTAATAAGTTATTCCGGCTAAAATTCGCATTTTTTTTTCTCGCCGCATTACATTTCTCTTAATTTCTTTCTGAAACGCGAAAAAGTAAAAATAGTATGTAAATATTTTTTGTTTTGTAAAACAACTGTAGTATGAAGTATGAAATATTTCGTATAATTGAGTTCAATGGATAGCCGATCTTTCCAAAACGTTCGAAAAAAAGATAAAACGTGATTGCCCAATCCTTATTTTGTTAGTGTATAGCTTTAGGTTACGTAATTTTTAATCATAAATGTTTTGAATAAAAGGTCCTCTATTTTGTGGGGAGGAAATGGTTAACATAACGTGAAAAAAGACTGTCCGGAAAGACACCCGACAACCCTCACACTATCTGTCTTAACATGTGTCTATGCTTTCGCCTTGTACATCGCTTCCGCCCCGCCCTTGCCCCCACCCGTGCTTTTCCCTCCCTGGCTTCCTGTGTGCTCGCCGCCGATTTTGCCACTACCCACGGTCCCACCTGCCACCGTCCTTGTCACCTCCGTCGGGACCTTTGGCATGTCATTGCTTCGGTCCCCGCCCCCACCCCCGCCTCCGCAGCAGCCTCCGCCCACACACGCTCCGCCACGCCTTCATCCCCGCGTCTGCCCTTGGCTCCGCACGTCCCTCCCGCTCGTGTCCGCCCTCGGCCCTGTCTTTGCCCCCGTCCCTGTTGCGTTGTATATGAATTGTATTATTGTGAGAATTGGTGGGTGGTGCAGCTGCACATAATTATATTGGGCACAATTACAAATGAAAGGAGTAGGTGTAGGTGAGACTTTGACAAGCAGTGCAGAAGCTGTTGTGGAAGCTGCATAGGCTTAGTTTACTGTGTAATGTTCATAGGCTTGTATAATATTCTAGATCTGTTGTAGATATTTTCTTGATAATGTAAGAGCTGCACTGTATAATTTCTTTTTAACTTGAATATGTGAATGATAATGTATTAGTACATGACTGAATAAAAGAAATTATTAGAGGAAATGATAAAAGGTTTTTAAATTCATAAAAGCATTAGTAAAGAAGACCTTTATGAAATGCTACCTCATACTTCCATTGTGCTCTTGAGTGTGTTGTAATTTGTGGATGCTCCTTAATGAAAGTTTTCCAACAATAGAGTATTGTGTACAAATCCTTTTTTGTATAAAATGTTTATTTTGTTTTTAAAAGAAAAAAGTTGAAGTGAAAGATTGTAATGAAATAAATTGGGTAGATGATAAATTACTTTCTATGTGCTTTTTAAATTGTATTATTGGAAGGAAAAAGTTGTTTCAATGTTAGTAGTTTCTGATAGTACTGGCTTACCCACATTTCTTGTGAGATGTGTATGGGGAGTGTTATTACCTGTTTCATTATTTTAGTTGAAAGTGACATAGGAGTATGTATAGATAGGCCCTTAGTTCTTCAAAGCTATCAAACTTTAGTGTGAGTGAAGGCTAATCATAATCCATAAAACACTTGTGCTGCATTGCTTGAGGCAATTTTACTAAGAGGGTGGAACAGATAATACCTGTAGGTATGGTTAGTGGTGCTGTGAAGTACATGAAAGTTAGAACTAGAATATTGCAAAGATGAGTTTTGCAATGATGGTTTGCAAAATGTTTAAAAATGCTGTGAATGTTAGGATGAAATTGACAACTTGTTTATGTAGTAGTGTAGTATGCTTGAGAGTGGAGAAGATGGTGAGAGATACTGGTTCAATAAGGTAATAAAGTTTATTCGTTAATGATGAAATTGAATTATTTGCAGTGGATATTGTACATAGTGTAGGTGTAAAGTTTTGGAATATGCATTTAGAAAAAGTGTGATAAATATATTAATGTTAAGTTAATATGGACTATATGTGAAGTACTTTGGTTTGTGCAATATAGTAATGATTGATGTTGTGACTGGGGGGAAAAGTTTGAAAATGTCAATTTGTTATAAGGGTAGGTTTTTTCTTTTTTAATTTTTTTTTGAATTAATGTTTGACCAATGTGGAATGGTTTTGTAATAAAAAGAAATAAGATTTGTTGTTGTAATTTATTCATGGTAAATTGGTTTTGGCTATTTGTGCCATAATATAAAAAATGCTGAGTAATGTCCTCCTTTTCCTGTGCCTTTTTCCTATTAAATTTCTAAATTGTAATAGTGAGGGGTAAATGATTTACTAAAATATTGAAAATTCAAAAATTGAGAGAAATATTAGTCTGAAAATAGTTTCTCAAATGCTAAAAAATTATAATTTTATATTCATTTTGTATTTACCAATTGGAGGTAATTTAAAAGAATTCTTTGTGCAGATAAGTCCTGTTTTCATGTATTAGATGTGTATATTCATCAGTAGATTAATATGGTTAAATTGAAAAGGATTTATTTAGATTCTTGGGACCTAAGTTTGTGAGGAAGCATGTTTTTAAGAAGGGAAAAAAAGATTGTAATGTTCAGGGATTTATTTTTATAATACTCACAAGTTTTCCTATTTGTCCTTTTTCGTTTCAGTAAGTGTAAAGAATTTTTATATCCTTAATTTATCTGAAAATATTTTTTATTTAACTTTAGGGCTATTTATGACATGAAAGTAGTCATTGATATTTTTTTGTATTAGATTTTTATTCCTCTTCAGTATTCCAAATTTTGTTTGTATGATTATTTTGAAAGATAGAACTTGCAGGATTGAATTGATTACTTTTCCTTACCTTAATAGAATTCCTGTGTAATCCTGTTTGCAATACTTTTTTCCTTTTGCAATAAAGTGTAATAAATTCTCTCCTTACTCTATCCTTTGACTTATTTGTCCTGAAATTTGTCAATTTTGTTTTATATTTGTTACATAATTTTATATACATATTTTTGTTTTTGTTTTTTGTATATTTCCTTAATAGAAATTTTCATTCTTCATTGTGTGCTCCTTCCTGCTCCCATTCTCTTCACTTTGATATTGTATATTTTATTTGTGTGTTGCTCTTTGTGCTGTATTTTATATTTTTCTATGTTGCCATCTGCTCTCCTTATTATTTTCCTTTAATATTTTCCCCTGTGTTCTACAATTTTACCTGAGCTGATTCCTTCCTTGTTCATTTGAAGTCTCCTCTATTTTTGTTTTCATTAAAATTTTACATCCCTCTTCCTCTGCAAACCTCCATCTTTCAGTACCTGTTACCAATTTTTTTCCCTTTTCCAACCAACTGTCATATTAGATTGTAATGTTGGTTTCCCATTTTCCTCCATGTCTCTCTGTAGTGTTGAGATTGCACTTTCTACCCCTGTTCCACCAATAATTGTTTTCCCTTTTTACCTGCTTATCCTTATCCTTTTACTTTGCATTCTGATATTTTAACCCCTCCTTTTAACCCTTTTCTTCCTCCTTTTAACCCTTTTCTTCCTTATTTTAACCCTTTTCTTCCTTATTTTAACCCTTTTCTCCCTTCTTTTCTCCCTTCTTTTCTCCCTTCTTTTTAACTTGCACCTTCTTTTCAATGTTCCTCAGCATGTCCTGAATTTTGCCTTGTCAAATCTTTATTTTTTTTCTTAATACCTTTCCTTGTTTCCTTTGTTTAATATTTAGAAAAAATATAATAAATGTAGATGTTAATTTTTTGACTTGTATTGTTTCAGGTGCAGATCCTGTCGTAGGAGTTGTTGTAGAGGAGTGGCTGGAGCTGGTGCCCTGCCCTGGCCAGGGGCTGTGGCACATAGTAATCCGTGAGAGCGTGGAGCGTCGGAGCAAAGGCAGCAAAGGAGCGAAAGGAGCACACAGCACACTGCAACTGCACGGCTCGGCTTGGCCTGTACCCCTGGCCAATAAAGATTTGCACTAACACTCCCGCCTCTTCATTTAAACCCATGCCCTACTAGCATAAGTAGAAGTATTCAAACTACGCAACTTACCATGCACGAGATCCTCTTAACTTATACTTAACTTAGGAAATAAAATACAAGGTAAGGACTTAAACATCAAAATATAAGATTTGCTGGCCAACTCAAGACAAGGTAAATTAGAATGTTAAGATACTTACTTATGCAAAAATTGCATTAAAGGAAACTTTAACTTTGGAAGTAACAGGAGTAAACTCTGAAGGAAACTCTGAAGGAAACTGTGAAGGAAACTCTGAAGGAAACTGTGAAGGAAACTGTGAAGGAAACTGTGAAGGAAACTGTGAAGGAAACTGTGAAGGAAACTGTGAAGGAAACTGTGAAGGAAACTGTGAAGGAAACTGTGAAGGAAACTGTGAAGGAAACTGTGAAGGAAACTGTGAAGGAAACTGTCTTGAGGACTTATGGGAATTCAATGGATTTCAAAAAGAATACTCAAGGTCTAAGGAAACTATCGATCAAGGTCAGCAACAAACTCTGAAATAATACGCAGACACTATGCAACGGTGAATGCCTTCATATGCAATTATGGGATCAAGCCAATGAAAACTTAGAAACCTTTCATGAGCACTTTGGACAGAACTTGAAGCCTGAAGCAAACTTACAAATTGGAAGACTTTAAAGAGATCTGGAAAAAACATTAAATGATACTTCAGTAAAAAATCTTACATGCACATGCTAAGAAATATTAAGCACTTGATTCTTTACAGGCCAATATGGCCAATTGAACCAAATGAAAACTTAACTTAGGCAACATACACGTCCAAACGTTGTAGAAAACAAAACAAATAAATTTAATGCAATTTCAGCAAAAAGGTTGCACACTAAGCAAATGATAACACCTTTTGACTCATTCCATTGTTCATTAAACCAAATGAACTTTTAACTTAAGACAAAACAATGATATTAACAAACAAACAAAAATTGGCACAAAGGATCCCTAAGCACATAACCTTAGGATGTAGAAGTTGATGATAAGGTTTAATAAGGATTAATATATTATAGAAAAACAAATTAATGCAATTTATTAAATTCCAAAACTTTACATACATAAAAATATTTAGTACTTATTCATTGATACAAATTTCAATATCTTAAAAATACAAAAACTTTGTTCACATTCTGCAGCTTTTTTTTCCATCCTCAACCACCAAATCTCACTTTGGCTGAACTTCCTCCTTTGCCCATTTACTGTGAACATACAAAAAAAAAATTTTTATTTCAAAGTCAAAGCAAATTCTATTTCTACACCATTCTCATACATTATGAACTTTTTGAATTCACACTACTTTCTAATTTCACATAATACATAAGATACAATCAATCGCAACAAAATTCTCCACCTCACATCCAAAAGAATATTATTAAACCAATCATACTAACTTCCACTATAAACAATCACTCTGAAATCATTAACACAATAAACTGTAAGATAATAAAGTTTTCTTGATTGAATTTCACAATCCCTTCCCTTCCAATTATTTTCACTACAAATAGTTGAAAGATAAGTAAACTAAAGTAAAAGTTTAACATACAAAATAAATAAAAATAAATTTTAAAAATTGCAAGATTTCAAAAATAATCATTTTTGTTTGAGTTATAGAAAACTAATTTGCATCAGTACATGAATTGCAAGTACGATTTTTCTGCATTGCTAACAAAATAGCAACTCGCCCTTACCTCTACTCTTACCATAACAAGCACAAGAAGAGTTCAACAAAACATGCGCATCGCAAAGCCTACCTTCTACGCTAATACCTTCCCTTTTTTTCAAACAAACACGTGTAACCCTATCTCTATAATACATCCTTTTCACTCTACTTTACTTTACTTTACTTAAAGAAAAATTTATGTAGTTAATTCCAAAACTGGATAATGAAAGGTATAAACAAAAACAAATCCTTATTCAAGGATTCCCAACTCCCTCGCAAAACAATAAAAAAATAATAAAAAATATACACTTTTTCAACAACTACTCATTAATGATATACACATACTACCCAAAGAACCTTGCATCCACTCAATCAAACAACACAATGTGGAATAAATGCATACTTTGCACTGGTACAAAACATGTATGAAATACATGTACAAAACTAAAAGTACTTCAAGTTATTAAAATACAAATTGAGATACCAACAACAGTACAGAGATGATCAACGACAATGCACACCGCAATTACAATATCAATTGGATAAGTATTTAAACAACACCTATGCAGTTGGTGGTCCATCACTGAACACTCAAAAAGAGGAAAAAGAAAAAGTGGACTGGTAATGTGTAAGTAAGTATACAGAAATAGATGCAAGTGTAGCAAATTAATGTACAACACAACACACATATTCTCAACTTACACTCAATGCACATCTTTGTGTTTTTAGACAAAGAAATTATGTTTAAGTGTACAATACATACACTTTACAAACATATTCCTTTCTCATTTAATAACATCCTTACATACACAATAAAGGCAAGTAAAAGCAGCATAATCCATTCTGAGGTAAGAAAACAAACAGTACACAAAGGCAATATGCAATTACTAAGCAGTACAACTCATAAGTGAAGGGACAGACAAGAGACAGACACAGCACAAAAAACTACTGTTACAACACTGCAGACAAACTATCCAAAAGGTAGAAAAAATTAGAGAAAACAAGTGGATACAAATGCTCCATGTTCTAGGTATATACCAAGCTCTAGTAATTGGAAAACCTGCAAAACCAGCTCAAGTTATTCAATTATAAATAACAAGAACTATTTCACACCTACTGAACACACACACACACACACATTACCAGTACATTAAACACTGACAACATCTACCAAAAATTATGAAATCTACCAAATACAAAAATTCCACTTGTCAAGTCAACTCTTACGTATTCAATGTCAAAAAGTACTGTTTCACAACTCTCAATACATTAATTCAAACATATAAGTAATGAAACAAAAAATTTCCAAACCAAAAAACAATTATTTAAAATCTTGATGAATAATGAAATAAACCAAACATGAAAAATACCACAAGAGCAGCAAATTAAACACTACTTTCAAAGAAAAAGAAAAAAAAATTACAACCATCAAAATCAAAACAAACAAACAAACATCCTACAACACAAAAGACAAATCATCAATATACACATTTCAATCCATTTCCACAAACACAATGCCCAAACTGCAGCAAAAAATATAAAAAGGCCGTTGACAGACTAAACAAGCACACAACTAATTAAATATCATAAACCCAAATTACAAATTACACAACCTACTCAATATTATACACAGACAACTGAAATCCACACATTCAAAACAACATATGGTTACAAATCTACACAAAATACCAAAGACAACTACAGAGAAACAACCCTCCTATCATCAACAACAACATTATTTGCCAGCATTATTAAAAACAAATTTATCAAATACAGTCGGTAGTGCATAGCAGAACAACAATTTCAATTCACATTCGAGGTCACATTCATGTATTCATCAATTAATAATGCACAAACATAAACAAAAAACAGACCAACACTCGTTTTCTTTGCAGACAATGACAAACATTACAACAATGTACAAAGGAAAAATTAGGGTCAATTCTTACAGAAACACATCCTAATTCAAACAATCACAACCTTCTATCAAAACTTGCCAAACAAACTTCACAACACTTTCAAACTACAAGCTCAACTCTCACGACTCTTCAATTTATATGCCAACTATGTTCATCACTAAATGCTAAGCAAAAAAAAATCAATAAATCAAATCAACATATAAAATCAAACAAAACTAATTTGGAATGCAAAAAAATCAACCAACTCTCACAATAACACACACAAAGCAGCACATCAATTCAATAATACATCAACTTTACAGACCTGTACAATAACTTCAACAGTTCACTTCAATGAAAGCAAACAAGGAGTGTCAAGTTATAAAAATATATCACACAAAATACTTCATGTCAAAAGAAAGAAAACACACCCAATGTACAGGAAGAACACAGCAAGGAATACCAAAGGAGAAACGGACACAACACAAACACCTGGAGATATAATCACCACACCTACTGCACAAGGGACAAGATAGTACACCTGAACCTCACAAATAATCATTTTCATGATGTCGGTGGCAAGCAAACAAACAACTTGCAATTTTTATATACACCTTAGTCCTACAACAACCACTTACGAGAAACTGTCATACCTAATGATATTTCTCATGTTTGCATCTTCTTTTTCTCATCTTTCACACATGACTTGGTTAAAGTTTCTTTTTTGGGATGATACACATCTTAGCATATATGTAATTATCATAATTTTTAACATTCTATACAGTTCTTTTTGACATCATTTGTTTGTGTTCAATGTGATCCTACATATGTAGTACCTGGCTACAATCTAGGGAAACAACTCAATTGTATAATCTTTTTTTCATGCACTGGTATTAAAATAACATTTCTTTAACAAAAGAATCTTTAAACTACTGTGTAATAAACAGTCTGCAAAGAAAAAAAACATTTTGATGCTTTTCATTACAAACACAGATTGTTTATGTGGCTTATGTTCTGTCCTCTCTGTAAACTTCATAAGATATAACATAGCATTGTTTAAACAGACACAACTTCAATCCACACTCGAACTTGCAAAGGACTTGAAAAAACCAGTTTGCTGCCTTTCAAAACAATCAACACAGATGTCTCAGAAAACTTACATTTTATGTTGTTCATGTCAACTTAATGTTCCAGGCATATGCAAAACATTCCACTTCATAAACACAGACTTACTATAAAATTACATTTCACAGCCACTTCATTAACCATTTATGAAATTCTAAACATGAAAAATTATTCACAAATTTACATAGCCCATCAGTAGACACAGTAATAATTGTAGGTGCGCAGAATGACATTAATTCTGGCAGTCACTTTCACGCAATGGAACATTTAACAAAAATACAAGACACTGCCAAACACACAAATGTAATAATGACCACTCTGCCCCCCTGGCACAAACAACATTCTATAAACAATGAAATTAAAATAGCAGCCATCATATAGACAGCACTTCAGAGGACACCTATAACACTTGTTGATCTTCACAACTCGTCAAGAAAAAATTTTACTCGCGATGGTCTCAGCACATGAACCAGATAGGAAAACAACAACTAACTAGGACCATTATGCTCATCTCAACCTACTGGTAACGCCCTGCCCGCTGCCTACTCAAAAACATCCTCTCCCACCCATTCTCTCTTCCCTCTCCATCCACAATCCTCTTACGATACTCCGCATCTTTCACAACGCATCCAGTCCTCTGCTTACCCCCACCAGTTTCCTTCTCCTACTCCACACCTCTCCTGCCCACTCACATCCTCACCTGCACCACCAGTCCTCTTTACCTACACCAAGTTCCATACTCCTACAACCGCTCCTGCCCACTCCACTTTTTCCAACACCTCCTCACC